AGAAAGAAAGAAAGAAAGAAAGAAAGAAAGAAAGAAAGAAAGAAAGAAAGAAAGAAAGAAAGAAAGGGAAAAAGAAAGTTCTGGATTGCCTGCAGAGCTCCTTCCTCTCTGCCCCCTCCTACCTGTGCCCACCTCCCCCCTGCTGTACCTACCATCTGCCTGGTCTGCTGGAGCTGGGAGTTGAAACCCCGGAGCTGCTCAGCCACCTGCCCTGCCATCCGGAAGGCCCCTCCAGCCCTAGGGCGGGCACCCCTGCAGTGGGAGCCACAGACAGTGCCATTATCTTGGGGACACAGTTCACCAGGACACGCTCCTGGGGTGCAAGCCGTCTGCCTGGAGCCGCCACAGAGCTGTGGAGAGATGGGGGTGTCAAAGAGGCTTCTCGACAACCATCCCCACCCCACACCAGGAAACAAACAGTCAGACATCCCCATGACAACCGGCATCAGAAACGTGTTTCCTTGGCAATGCCTGAGTACACAGTGAGGGGCATGAGGGTCAGGATGGGTGAGCAGTTTCTCACTGGGGCAGGTTTGCCCTAATGGGAAATGTGGGGATGTGGCCGTAGTCCCTGTGTGATAAGCTAGGGTGGAGGTTCCAAGAAGAGGGACTCCCATTCCCTAAGTCACCTTATTGATGGTAGGTGTCAGATCAGGCAAGGAGGCCATCTCTAGCTGCAGGGATGCCAGATCGGGGCTACCATCACCTTCACCTCTTCCCACCAGCCTGTCCAGCCCCTCTGCTCGTCTGCGGTCCTCCCTGAGCCGGTGCAGCAACCTGGAGCTGTCCGAGATCTGCCGAGCAGCCTGCGATGACCGCTCATAGGCTGTGGTCAGCATCCGGAAGGCTCCTATGGAACGAGGGGAGGGGAGAGAGCTGTCTATGGCACAGGAGGCCTGGAGAGATGGGAAGGAGCAGATGGGGAGAGGCGGGTTGTCTGGGTCCCTCTCTTCTCACCTGAAAGATCAACATTGCTTATTTTTTCAAACTGTTCCCTCTTGTTCTGATACATAACAAGGAGGTGATTGAAGCTTCTGTCCAGACTGTCCAAGTCTCCTGGGAGGGACAACATCTCCTCCAGCAGGGGAAGATCCAACTGCAGGTCCTGGAGAGTCTGCCTAGGATGGGAGAAGAGTATGGGCTAACATGTAGGAGGGGGTTTGGCTTGCCAGAATCAACCTCCTCTTGATAAAGCTGCCACTGAGTTAGGAGAAACAGGCTGCACAGGGGAGTTGTCCTCAGCAAAGCAACAGAAGGGAGAATCCACCAGCTGAAGACAATTCTTCTGGGCAGAGGCTGGGGTCAGCCGAGGCAGGGACACAGCCTTGCTCCATCCCTCTGTAGGTGGACTGTTAAATGCTCTCCTTCCTTGACTGCTCTGGCCTTAGTATTCTCCATCCCCCCCCCTCACCATTCTCTGCCTATGCTACCCTGTCCCTCTCCTCCTGGCCTCTTACTGTCTGACTTGAGCTATGGCTCCCAAACTGCTCCTCTGGGGCACACACCACCCCCACTGAGCTGCAAACCCATCGCCTTCTGGCTGGAAATGCCCATGTGAAGGGGACTCATGATGCACCCCCAGGCTCACCACCATGGGGCTCTCAGGGTCCTCTCTCCCCATGCCCTCTGTCTGTCCACCCATCTTAACTCCCTCCCACAAGTGTCACATCCTCCACCTGAGGCTTTGCTTGGCCATAGAATACCACGTCCCACCCTCCACACCTGCATTCCCAGCCTTCTGAACCCCTATGGACATATTGCACAGTTTAGAAACTGAGGTCAGAGGGCACTCCCCTGTAAAGCCTGCCACAGCCACCCGTTAGGGGAGCTTTAGCTCTTATCCCACGTCCACATTACTATTCTTCACTGTTGGCACATCAACCAGCTGCACAAGAGCCTCTGGGGGGTGAAGACTGTGTCCTGTGAACTGTAATGTCCTTCACACCTTGTGTAATGCCTGGATCACACCAGGGGCTTTTAAATCTGTGGAGTGAATGAACAAATGATTTCCAACATTTGCTCTAGCTCCTCTGCTCAGGCCCCTGAAGAAGCTCAGCACCTCCATGAGTAAAAGAGGCTCAGCCTTCAATCCTCTTGGGCTACCTTTTCCCTGCTGCCTGGACATCTCTGTGTACCACCAGTCCACTGGTGCTCAGGAAATATAAACTAATTATAGAATCTTCCAGAACCAAATCTCACTGAGAAGTCACCTCTGCTGGTGGGAGGGGGGCGTAGGTGGGATGGCTTCCATTCCAAAAGCAAGTTGGGATCTATATTTAGCACCCCTGCCTCTAGGATGCCCTCCACCAGGGTGACTAATCCAGAGCTGACTCTCTCCTACAGGCAGCGCCAAGCACTTGAAAGAGTCCTGGGCTTGGGCTCCTTGCCTGTGCTCTGAGGCCAGCCCTGCCCCTCAGTGGCCACGTGGCTATGACATCATTTATCAATGCCTGTCTCCTCACCTGTAAAACAGAAGTAATAACAGCCACCACTCTATCCTCACAGGACTGTCACAGTAGTTGAGAGTGGGTGCATGTGAAAATGTTTTGTAAACTATAAAGGGCTGTAAAAAGGTAAGGAAGGACCAGCGTGACCCTTACGTGAACCTATGTGGCATAATTCTCCAAGTGCTGTGCAGGGACAGTGATACCTGATAGAGAAGACGGCATTGGCCACCTGGGCCACATCCTGCTCTGTGACCAAGGAACTGCCCAAAATTGCTTGGATCTGCTCAATCTTGGCCTTGGCATCCCGCACCCTGGAGGCCAGGCCAAGGTCGTCCAGGCCTGGCCCCGGCCGCAGGCCAGCAGTGGCATTGCGGAGACTGTGGAGGCGCCGAGCCTGCTCCTTGAGGTCTGAGTCGTAGGTCTGGAAGCATGGGTGGCAGCCCACGCACACGGGGTAGCGGTCACAGTAACCTCGCTGGCACTGGTCACAGCGACGTCCGGTCAAGCCAGGGCGGCAGAGACAGCGGCCCGAGGCCTTGTCGCAGCCCAGATTCTCTGTTCCTCGGAAGTCACAGTCACAGGCTAGGGCCGGGAGAAAAGGCAGTCAGAGACTGGGGTCAGGGAGAGAAAGGCATTCGGTGGAGAGAGCCCTACAGAGGACGTGTGACCTGAGGGACTGCCTGTGTGACTTAGAATAATAATCCACAGTGGCTAGAAAAAAGGCAACACTTACTCAAAAGCCCCCAGATGCCACATACTGTTCCTTAGAACAGAAACACAGGCTGGGTTTGCCCCCCACCCGGTACTTCCCACTTCTATAGATGAGGCAGCTCAGGTGCAGGAGCTAACAAGCCTTCTCCCTCCGATGAGGAAACCGAGTGCAGAGGGGAGTGGCTCACTCAGTCACCAGGGAGGCAGAACTGAGGCCAGCACCGGGTCTGGACACTCCTGTCCTGTGCTCTTGTCACTACATCAAGCCGACTCTGGGAATGACACCCTGCCCCCCCCCCAGGGCTTGCTTTCTCTGCTGATGCAGAGAGAAGAAGCAACCTCCCCTCCCTGCTCCTGCTTCTCCAAATGCCTGTTCTAAGGGAAGTGGGAGCAAGACAACCCTCCTGAGGTGTGGAAGTGGGGGCGGCCTCTGGTTAGCCTCACTCAAGGGCAAGGAGGACAAGCAGTGGCAGGAGTGTGGCACTCACAGGGCTGCCCAGGCTCACGCCACACCTATCAATGCAGGTTGTCCAACCACCTCACAGACCTGGGTGACCCCACCACAAGCTTGTCTCACCATGCAGTTAGCTCCCACCTCGGCATCCTGTGGCCACATCTCCATAGGTCCGGTCTGGACACTGGCGGATGAGTGCGGCAGCACTGCACTTGAGGCCACTAAAGCCTTCCCGACAGGGGCACTGCCCTGTGAACTGAGAGGGGAAAGAACCATCAGGGGCCCTATCTTACAGGATCTGCCTGGCCCTGGTATCATGTCCCAGCCCCCTGCCCCACAGATAGTAACAAGGGCTCACCAGCTGTCTACAGAGAGGATGCACCCACCCCACCCCCACTGCAAAAAAAAAGGACCCCCCCCCAGACAAGCACAAAAGTCAAAGCCCAGAGTTGCTCTGCAGAAGGTGTGGCAAATATGGCATTGCCCAAGGCTGAGAGCCACAGAGGGAGGGACATCTGGTGGCCTCCCCCAAGAGGAACAGGGATAGAAGCATCCCAGGCTGACTTTCAAAACTCCCACAAGGGGAGCATGAAGTTAAGACAGAGATGCTGGTGGGCAGACCCCCCCCTCCTGCTGAGGAGCCCCTGGGGCCATCCCACCTCATACCTGGTTGCACTGGGGGCTGAGGGAGTTGTGCGGGTCACAGGCACATGGCTCGCAGCCCCGGCCACTGGCCAGCTTCCAGTGGTAGGGAGCGCACTGGTCACATTTGGGACCCACCACGTTGGGCAGACACAGGCAGCGGCCACTCTCCTCATCACAGGGCATGTCCCGCTGGGACCCCAGGATGCTGCAGTCACAACCTGCAGGAGGGCGGGCTGAGCTCAGGCAGATACCACGAAAAAAATTCAGCCCCAGAAGACACACATGCAGGGAGGAGGCCAGCCAGGAAAAAGCACTGGGCAGGGCGGTCCCCTGTGGATAACATGGCTGACTCACAACCACTGTGCCTTCCCAGCCACCTGGCAGCTTGGCGGCCTGCAGGCCCACCCTTGCTCTGGCTGACTCAGTCCTACCTTCCAACCTGGGCCTGTGCTGCCACCTGCTGGTGGCTAGTAGCACAACACCTGGTGCTGGGAAAGAAGAAATCTGACCTACCAGCCCAACCCCACTGTCTGCCCTTGAGTGGGATTTCCTCTGAAGACAGCCTCGCAAGATTTGGACTGGGGGCCCATGCAGCCCACCCACACCACACTGGGCCAGGTCCCCTACTCACGGTGGCATCCCTGTGGGTTGGTGTAGGTGAGTCCTGTGAAGCCTGGCTTGCAAAGGTCACAGCGCTCTCCCTGCACATGTTCTTTGCACACACATTGCCCGGTGACTGGGTCACAGGGAGCCCCTGGCACTGCCCCATCCGGATCACATTCACAAGCTGAGAGACAAAAGCAGCCGTGGCAATAATAACAAAGAAATTTTGAGAGCTCAAAGCAGATTCTAGGAGCCACATTGCCTGGTTCAAATCTTTGTTCCACCATCGGTTATTTGTTAATCTTACAACCTCAATCAAGTACTTTATACCCCTCTGCACCTCTGTTTCTTCCTCTGTATAATGGGACAATAATACACCCCTCCTAGCTTCTTATGAGTAATAAAAGAGTAAATATCAACTAGGTAGAAAGTCAGTTGAGGATGTTAAACACTATACCAGTATTTTGGTTTTCATGATTTACCAAACAACTACTATGTACCAAGCACTAAACCAGGCACTCTCCCATGTTGTCTCATAATGCTCCTGATAACCCTGAAATGTGAGGATTCTAATCCCCACTGTACTTGATGAGGAAGCTGAGGCTCTGAGATGCTAAAGAACTTACTAAAGGTCACATTGTCACATTGCAAGTGAACGCTGGACACAAGAGTCAAACTCAAGTGTGTCTCAGTCTTTCCATAAACAAATAATAACAACAGGAAGTGACCCAGCTTTCCCCTACCAGACTCCTTGGCCTCTATTATGCTTTTCAAAACAAACTACTCCTTCATTGCCAAAGTCTTGGCTGATGAAAACCGCCTCCACCCGCCTGCCTCAGTCTAGTTTGCTCTCTCCTGTGTGCAGTTTGAGCCCTTGTGGGCATGTTAGCCACCTCTGACTGTTCCAGCCCCTTACATTCGCGTTCATTCAACAAGCATTCCTTGGGCATCGATTATTTGTTAGTCAATTGTGTTAGGACCAGAGAAAATAAGACATGATCTTGGAAGAGTTATCAATATTGAGTAAATAGAAAAACAAGTATCAAACCACATTGCCACATGGGAAAGGCAACACCATGGGCAAAGAGCTTTAATTCCTCTTTTTTGTGTGTGATTTATTTACCAGACCACAGGAGCCATAGCTTATGTTTATTTTTTTTCTCTTCTATACCCAAAGTAAGGCTATGTACTGATTGGCTCATCGATTGATGGTCCACTGAGGTTAAATGATTTGTTTAATAGTACACAGCTAAGTTAAAAAAACCACCACAAGTCCTGATTTATGACCAAGTCTTTGTGCTCCCCAATGGCCTTTGTATCCCCAGGGACATGTGTCCTGTTGTAACCAGAGAAAGTGGGGAATAATAAATGAATGACACTCTGGGTCCCTGGGGCCCCTACTCACGAATACAGGTCTCTTGAATAGGGGCGCCTGGTCGCCGGTTCCGGAAATAGTGCAGCTGACACCGCTCACAGTTCTTGCCCTCAGTGTGGTCCCGGCAATTGTCACACACTCCTCCATGTGCCCCTTGGCTGGCAGCAAATACAGATGGGTCAAAGTGACATGTCTCTGAATGCCCATTGCAATCACATCCTGAAAAAGAAGGGATCCCATATTTAAAAAAGGGATATCTGACCAGCACCATTGCCATCCACCAAGCATGAGCCAAGGCAGCTCCTTGGAATCTCTAGCAACTCTACAAGACCATCAGGGCAGGGAAATGGGGAGATGAGGTCAAGGAGCCTTGTGTAATATAGTTAGGGATACACAACCAGGAAGAAAGCTAAGTAAAATGAGGACTCAGGCCTCCTGATTCCCAAGTGTATGGTGGGCAGGGGTGAAGTCAAGAACAGTGGTCTTGCTGGAGCAAAGGGAGAGCCCTTTGAATGGCCTATCCTCAGCCCTCTCCCGTGGCCACCATGAATCTCCTGCAGGGTCACTGCCTTCCTGGGGCTATATGAGCAGAGACTCTGACTCTAAGGGACCATTTGATGTAGAAAACTGACAACAGGGAAGCAGATATGTTTGACCCAGGATAAAGCAACTGGAGGGGCCAGAGGAAGAAGGCTCTGGGGACACTGTGAGAGCCATGTGTCATCAGCAGAAACCAAGCCCTGGCCCCTCCAGGGCTGGCTGAAAACAAGGCAGAGGCAGTGGAAGATCCCACCCAATCCTCTCTCCACCCCCACAGAGCCAGGACAGCTTAAATTGCAAGACTACAATTTGGTTTAGATTTCAAAAATAAAAAACAGATTCTCGCTCTGTCCCACGCGAGGTCAGTGAGTTGCAGCAAGGTCAGCAACCAACTCAGTCATTACAGGGAAGCGGGGGTTATTCCAGGTTCTTACTTTGACATTCATGGGGGTTTTGGGTCTCTGCAGGTCTCCAGGGCCGGTTGTTATAGAAGGGGGCACAGCGTTCACAGTTGGGGCCAGCAGTGTTGTGCTGGCAGACACAGACATCATGGACCTGGGAGAGGCAGCCGTGGGTCATCAAGAATAATTAACAAAGGAGAGCCCCAGGGATGGAGCTGCCCTCTCCTGTGGGACCCTCCTGCCCACCACTCAGGGCCTGCGCAGACCTCAGCCCCTCAGGATGCTCTTCCTGAATGCACCAGCCCTTGCCCAGCTCCTGTGACAGTTACAGTGTCCTTCCTACTGTTGTTCTGTGTGTGAGAGCACACACATGTGAATGTACCCTCACTGTTCCTCTAGTAAGGATTTTACAAGCTCATTCTTTTCCCTTGGACACCCCAGGATGCCCAGTCCCAGGCTGCACCTAGAAGGTGATCAGACACCCTTGTGGGTAAACTGGGATTCTAGAAGCTGGTGGGCTCTCTGGATATTTATATTCCAGCAATTCATGACTAAGTTGTTTGGCTAATGGGACTCTTACGATAAATTCGTTACTAGGCTCATTAAGGTATAAAAATAGAATAGCTGTTGTGTGTTAATTGCCTCCCAAATTAAACCCAACACCCCCAGCCTGGCATTGGAGGACCTGTACCACGTTTGCTCCATTCTCATCCCCTGCTCCCTGCCGACAGCACAGCAAGCTGAGCTTTGAATCACTCCCTGTACCCTGCCTGCTTGCCCCCATCTCTTGGCCATTTCTGATGTTTTTCCTTCTGTCTGGAATTCTCTTCTTCTGTATTCCCCAGCAAATCCCCACCCAGTAACTCCAGCTAGAATGGCACCTCCTTCATGAGACCCCCTGGTCCCTCAAGTTCCATAAATTCCAACCCTGGCTGCACTTCACCATCACCTGGGGAGTGTTTTGGGAAACACCAATGCCCAGATCCAGTTCAGCTGGAATCTTAGGGGACAGGCCCAGGCATCTGTGCCTTTTAAAAGCAGTGATCTCCTCTCACCCCACTTCAGTTCCTTTCATTTGTCTTATGGGCCTTAATGGATCACGGGTCCATCCCCTGAGCTGGCCCCTGCTAGACTCCTCTGCAACTTGGGGCTGCCGTTGGTCCAGGAATAAAGAACAAAGCAACTATGCCATGCCATTTGTACCTCCCCGCCCTGGGATGATTTGCATATTTCTTCATGTCCCTCTACTACCAGGACAAACACTGTGCCCCCATGTGTTGACAAAAAAAACGATGCCCCAGAAAAGGGCTTCTTTAGCCAAGGCTCTCTCTCCTCCACTCCTGGGCCTGGTTTCACAGTATAACGCCCTGGGAAGCTTGTTAAACTGGGGCTTCTATACCCAGCCCTGCTGAACCCCGTTTGCTAGCCTGGGATAGACTTTCCATCCATACTAATATTACTCAGTCACCTGCCCTGTTTCTCACACCGGATAGCCTTTACTCTGGTGGCACCCTGCAACCTCCTGGACCTTTAAATCAAATAATAAAATAGAATACCTGATGGTGGAGGTCCTTGCAAGTTTTTCCTAAGTACCCAATAAAATGAGAATTTACAATATTTTCATATTTACGTTTTTAGATAATAATGTTGTAAATGGCAGTTTACGCATTGTAAATACAGTACATAGCCTGGGTAAGAAGCTTTGCCTTGAGCTCCCCCCTGGGCAGCCACATATACACTTACAAGTCACGAAAAATCAAAACCATCTCAAGCTATAAAGCAGGTCTGCATAAAGACCACAAAAGTCTAATTTCAGAAATGACTGTCCTTTAAAATAATTTTTATTATTACTGAAATACTAACTACCCAATTCTTAAGTTGTGTGTCCTCTCTGTGTCACAGGAGCCCCAAGAACACCCTTAGTCTACCCGGTCCTGCCCTTTCCCCCGGCCCTTCCCACCCTGGGCTGTCACCTGCACAGCTGAGGAGGGACTTTCAGGGGCTGCAGGCTTGGGTGCACAGTGGTCAGCGTGGCCGTGACAGAAGCAGCTCCCCTGCAGACGCAGCTGGGACACTGCAAAGTAGGCGCTGGGGGGATAGAAACCCCTCTGGGGCATTGGGGCCAGCCTGGTGAAGTTGACTCTCAAGTTTGTGATGTCTCCCAACTCTGAGAGGGGCAGCAACAAGGAGGGGGAGGTTGGGAAAGGTAAAACCAAGAAAGGAAGTTGGAGGCAAATAGTCTCCTAGACCAGGATAGATTTTTAAAAAGTATTTTGATAGCCCCATCCCTCTGTCCTGGCTTCACATTATTCAAGGGACCACCCTCCCCAGCCCCCCACCTTCTCACAGCATCCTGCACACAATAACCCTAAGAGGCAAGCCAGGCAAGAATTATGTCAGAAAAATAGGAGGGAACAGGAAATTTCCATGATCTTGGTTCCAACTTGTTTCATTCCCCACTAACAGTCCCACTAGCAGGAAGAGCAGCCAAACTGACCTTGAATTTTTTGACTTTGAGTTGCTGGAATCCCAGACGCTAAATCCATAAGGTTAAGTTGAACCTATACAGAGGGGAGAAAGGGAAGAACCAAAGCATAACAGCATGCCCCAGCTCGGAGCCCTTCCTTTCCATTCTGTGCTCCACCCTTCTTATAATCAGAGGTTCCTCTTTTCTGGAACATGAGAGAGACCACCTCATGAGCCCACCACCTGCTCTGGATGAGCAAAACAACTGCTGGGCAGAAAGTGAGTGTGTGTGTGTGTGTGTGTGTGTGTGTGTGTGTGTGTGTGTGTACGCATGCACATGCACGCGTGTGTACAACTTCTCCTCTCCAGTTAAAAATAAACGTATCTCAAGAATTTTCTGATTTTCTTAGGCCCAAAATTATTGTGATATACATGATCTACACATGGGGTTTCAACAGATTCTAATCTTCCAATGTCATAAGATGAATGAAAGGGTTCGGAATCCAAGACTACATGAACTTAGTAACCATGGCACTCTAGACAATCTTAATTTCAATTTTTTTTTATTATTTATAATCAAAACCACTCACTGGATGTGACTTCCTTGCATATCCCAGGAAGTTTTTAAGCTAATCCTCCACAAATCAGGAAAAAGTCCTGGCTCTGATCTAGAGTCTGGAGAGCATGGGGAACCTAGACTTGGATAAGGATGTAAACAAGGAGGAGCTGTCCCGCCTGAAGGAAGCAGCTATGCAAACAGCAGGCAGGGACCACTTGGCATCAGTTCACCTGGGTGCAGCTCTTGGGAGTCACCCCATCCCAGCCAGGGACAGGAGAAGAGAAACCAGCCTCCTCCACCAGGGAATGGGGAATTCAGTTACAAAAGAGTTTGGCCAACATTTAGGAGGATTTGGAAAGAAGCATTCTGGGTGTTTATGGAATCGAGTTCTCATTCCCAGCTCAGGATTTAAATTCACATAATCTAGAACTCTTCATACCTGGATTTCCCTCCAAGGACTGGGACTGGACTAAATGGATGATTTCAATCAAAAAATTTTCATTTTTGTGTTAAATCCTGCCAAAGTGAAGATAAATTTTTGTGATTTTTCTCCTCTCCGTATATAGGGATGTGCCAAAGAGTAGCCTGGGAAGAGGTTATGGAAGAGGGCCTCAAGCTGCTTTCGAAATATCCCAGCCAATGCTTGCAGGGCATCATTATTGAGGAAATCAGGAGAGACTGCAAGGGAAACTGGCCACCGGTGTTATCGCTTCTTCTCAAGACTCCTTGTGACTTTGTGAACTGGGAGACTTTGGGTACTGCTGTGCTTACTTTTTCAGGGGTCTCTCTACATACCTTTCCCCCATTTAGGTGTCCATTAGGTCTCTGGGGCAGGGGCTGGCACCGGGCATCTTGCCAACTCTGGGGCTGGCCCTGGCGGACCCGGGGGAAGGCAGAGGTGCAGTCCGCAGCCAGGTACTGGTACACCCGCCAGGTCTTGCCAAAGTCTGAGGAGCGCTCAATCAGCATGCCTGCTGGCAGAGGCCCCTGAAAAGACATAAACAGGAGGACTCTGAGAAACAAAGGAAAGGGGGGCTCTGGTGGTGTGCCCATGAAACATAATCACAGAAACAGTTTCCCCCAATGAGGGTGATAGAAAGAGGCCCAGTAGGAGCAAGTAGACTCCAATCCTCCTGGCAAACCATAGATCACAGAAGTTTGTGCCCAGGGAAACTGTGGAAAGAAACAGAAACAAAATCTGTATTCCAGAAGGTGTGATCCCTCCTAGATCAGTTACCCCACTTCCCCCACCAGTCTTCCATGCCAGAAAATTCTCCCACACCTGCACTTCCCATGGCAACCATTTTTATCCCTAGTAAACCTGGGTTCTGTCCTTCTTCTCCCCCGCACCCGCCCTCTCCTCATCTCTGATATGGTCATCTATGGCCATAGTCCAGGCTGTGGTCATACTGAGCCTGAATTATTGCCACAGCCTGGAAGTCACGTCCAGCCTCTGTCCTGGACCTCCAACCACTCCCCCCACTTCACCAGAGAGGTCTTCCTGAATCGTTTATTTGATCATGACCCTCCACTATCAATCTGCATTGGCCTAAAGATAAAATGCAAGCTCTAGGCATGATATACATATGTCCCTGTCCCTTTTCTTGGTGATTATCTCCATTCTGGGTGGCTTCCCAGCTTGTGCCGCTTCTTATACTGTAAGTTCATAAACTCAAGCTCCAAAATAGAACCTAAATCAGGCCCACCTCTCCAGCTTCCGTGCCACCTCCTCTCACCCCACCACCACCCCTTAGCTTTCCCCACACTCTCCATCTTACATCCTCTCATCCATTCTCTCTGACCTCTTAACTCGGTCACACCTGCCCCAAACAGAAAGAGCTCTCTCTCTCTGAAAACATAAACATGGACTGTGTCATTCCTTAGCTAAAAATCCTGCAACCCACTCTGTTTAAAATCAGATCTTCTGACTGTGAGAGAAGAGGCCCTGGGTTCCTGGGCCCTGACTGCCTCCTCACTCTCCTCAGACACTTCCATCTCCACAAGAGTTTAACCACACCAACCTCACTCCCTCAACACCTTGGTGCCAGTCCTCCTGTCCTGCTTCTGCTCAAAATGGTCCTACCCCAGGGCACCCCCTCTCATCTTCTGTTCTCAGTTTAAATGTCACTTCCTCGAGGAGAGCTTTTTATACCTATCTAAGGCGCATTCTTCTGCCCACACCATGCTCATCCCACCCCACCCCACCATTATTTCCTATCCCAGCATCTCATCTCCTTCAGAAAACTCACCACAATTTCCAAATTTTTAGTTTACTACTTTTTATTTTCTCACTTTAGACCAGGATTTCTCCACCTCTGCACTGTTAATATTTTGAGTTGGATGACCCTTAGTTCGAGGGGCTGCCCTGTGCACTGTAGGATGGTTAGCAACATCCCTGACCTCTACCCATCAGATGTCAATACTATATCCACAGTTGAGACAACCAAACATGTCTCCAGAAATTGCCACATATCCCCTAGGGAAATGTAGACAGCCAAATCACCCTTGGTTCAGAAAACAACACACTAGATCGTAGGCCGATTGGCCCATCTCGCTCACAGCTGTATCCCCAGCATTAAGCACACAGTAGGTGATTAGTATACATTTTCTGGATGAATGTATCTTTAGTCTGCTGCCCCCTACACATTATATCTGTAAATTCACCACTCATCAGTCTACAGCCCTCTTACCTCCATAAATGCTTTTTAGCCACCAAACCCAGAAGGGATTCACTGGCCCCCTCCCCAATTGTATAACCTTCCTGTCTCACCTCCTGGCCTTGGTGCTTGCTATTCTCTTGGCCTGGAATGAATATTGCCTTTGCCCTGGTTATTACTGATCTATGAAGTTTAATCTTCCCCTGAATGCATTCTATGAAAACCCTACCACCATCCCCATACCAAGGCAGACCTAGCTGGATACCCCCTCCCATGCTCGCCAAGGCCTATTCTTACCAATGTCCCAACACCCATTTCACTGTCACTACTAGGTCTCGGTCTTCCCTGCATATTGTAAAAGCAGCTTGAAGAGTGTTGATTTAGCTTTACTTATCTTTCTACCCCTAACATCTGACATCAAACCCAACATGTAATCAGTGTCCAATATGTGTGTGACAAGAACTGACAAATAGATGAATGGGTGAAGCATCATAAAGCAATGAGACCATTTAAGAGTGTCCATCCAAGTGACAGTTGCCCTTCAAAACTGTCACCTTTCGAGACTGGGCATCCATTCAAGCAATGCTGTCCTTTCTCAAAATACTCTTGACCTTTGCGCAAGGCGTGGCTCTTGGAGCCAACTTTCCCAGTCATGTAAGAAATTAGGTCCTATTGCTTTTTAACTCCAAGCACTTTTTAACTCTTGAAAATCATATTGCTTTTCCTGATCATCGAATCTTATTAACCAAACTTGATCCTTTCATATTTAACAATTTCTGTAGAAATAATGAAATCAAAGCTTCTGTGAAAAGAAAAAAAATGACCTGTCACAAATGAATGAATTTTTTTCCCACCGGGCACAGTGGCACACACCTGTAATCCCAGTGACATGGGAGGCTGAGGCAGGAGTATTGTAAATTTGAGGCCAATCCCAGTAACTTAGTGAGGCCCTAAGCAAGGGAAGAATGAAGGAAATGTCCTCTCTAAAAGGATTATCTCAGAAATTAGTCCAAGAATCTGAAAATCATTTGAAAAGTAATAGCACTGGAGGAGTGGAAGGCCCATCAAGAGAGCCATCCTAAAGGGACATCTTTTGCATGGATAGTTCTTCGCTTATTGGCTAAATTTAAAGTCATCTGCAAAGTTATTAAATAGAGTCTACCAGAATACACAGTGGATAATAAGCAATCGGGCCCAGCAGAATCAGTACTTGGCAGAGTTGAGTTAATCAGATGGGTTAAGGATAGGGGATACAGAGAGGAAGAGAATAGACAATCTCGGCATAAACAAGACAGGGAGCCTAGCAACACAACTCCTTTCAAGAGCCATTCCTCTGTTGCCACCACGATATAAGCTCGTGGTAAATGCCTCCAGACCTGGAGAGGGGGCCATGCACCATTTGGTGCTATCTCTCCCAGCCTGGGAAGACAAGAACACTGCTCCTCCACGGCCTAAGCCCACATAGCGCAGGACCGTCTCTCTTATCCATCACCGTTTCCAAAAAGCACACCTTAAAATCCATTGTGATGTCATGAAGCTGCAGTCTCCTGTCCAAGTCCAGCTGCAGAGAGACAGGGCTCACATCTGAAAGGAAAAATGGTAAAAGCATTAAGTCAGAGACTTCCCACCTTCCCAGGCCTGCATAAAGTCCTGGTCTAGACTAGCTCTAGGAAGTGCAAAACACTCCAACCTTGATTCTCTGGTTTACCGCTGGGAGAGGAGATTACCAGTACATTTGCACTTGGGTGATCTATTCAAGATCCTATCTGATTTTGGCCAAATTTCCTCCCTGCCATCGCGTGATGCTTCTCACAGCTTAGTGGGTTTCAACTTGTCTGTCCACACTGATTCTGAAGCTCAATTCTTTCCATGCACCACCCATTGAAACTCCATAGAGTGGAATAAAGGCAGTTCTCTTTCCTCATAACCTTCCTTAACATCCAAAAAGCTTTTCACCTCTAACACCCAACAGATCTCAAATATATAGAGAGAAGGTTCTGCTTGTCAACCTCCCATGCCCCACTGCCATAAGAAATACCTAGAAACCCAAAGGGTTCCTGAGCACCTCCATCCAGCCCCAGCCTGTGGAGCCCCCCCCCCCCCGCCACCTGCCGCAAGTTTGAGCCCCTATAGGTGGGAGATCCTCACCATTCTGGGACTGCCACCAGCGCATGGGGCCAGAGGATGAGACCACATTCTCCACTCGGTGACTATTGTAGTTGTGAGGCAGCCTGGAGTCACACTTGCAGCATTTCAGTTGCCACTGTTGGGGAGGGAGATGGCAGAGGCTCAGGGTCGGGAGGACCTCATCAAATTAGCCCTTGTGTCCTGAGATCCCAACATATCATGCCTTCTGTGGGATCCTACCTCCAGGGAGCCATTGGTTTCATTAATACACCTGGAAAGGTGAATTTCTTAAAAACAGGGCTATTGGACATCTTTTAATTTAATTCCTTCTGTCCCTACTAACATACAATTGAATAGTGAACAGATGTTGTATCTGTAAAGGGATAAAAAGCGATAGAAAAAATAACCTTGAAACACAACATTGTCTTGAAGAGAAACTTGAGAAGAGTGCCAAAGGCTACAAGAAGGAGGAGAGATTTGCATCAGTTTAGCATGAAGTATGCGTCAGATGCAAGCTGCAAAGTTTTATATCTGATCTCCTTTACCCTGAAAGCCTGCCTGGCGAAGACTGGGATTTTTGAGGATCAGGGAGAGGGGACACCAAAAACTGATAAAGAAATTTGGGTTTTCAGGGCTAGCTTTGTTAACCTGCTTCTTACACTGATTTTCTTTATAAATTGAGTGTGGTTTGGACTAGAATCATTCATTCATCCAACAAATATTGATGGAGTAGGAACCAAACGCCAGGCACAACTGTGGGCTCTGGAGTTAAAATAGTGAACAAAACAAAGGCCCTGCCCTCAGCGAGGATGATGTTAAGTGGTCTCCAGGGCCTTCCAGCACAGGCACCTGGGATTGTAGGGTCTCCCCACTTTCATATTCCCTGTCCATAAGAGAGAAGCCAGCCTCACTGAGGAAGTCCCCAGGAAACCTCATCTTCCCTGGACTGTGCCTGTCTCTTCAAGTGCTATGAACCCCATGGGCTCCATGGCAGCAAGAGATCACCAAGAAAAATATATGACCATGGAGGCCACATGTACCTTGATCTTTGAGTTTGTGCCTATGCATACACATGCACACACACACACACACACACACACACACACATATACACAACACAGATTACAAAACAACTTTGTCCCCGCTCCCCCATGTTATACATACAAAATTGCTTTTCTCTGAGTAAGCATGATCCCAAGCCCTGTGCTCAACTTCAAGAGCACAATCCAGAGGACTACAAATTCTTCCTTCTACAAAGCAAAAGTAAGTCTTCGATAGAACCTCCCTACCCTGCTGGTCCTTCCGGGTAGAAACAACTGGACCTCCACATACCCCAGGCCTCTGCTCTTCCCTAAACCTCCTTTCATCACAATTGAGAAGGGGCTCTAGTGGCCATCTCTGCAGCCTGCTGGTTCCTCGTACTCCACCACATTCATAAAAGGCCACACACAGACAAGGCTGATGTCTTAGAACTGAATGGATTCACTGACAGCTCAGTTCCAAAGAGATGGAGTGAGTGTGTCGTGCCTGTGCCTTGACTTGAAGAAACTCCTTCCCCTGCACTCATCTTCCCCCTCCACTGCCAACAAGGTGGGACCCAGAGAACACAATGGGGGAGCCACAGGCCCTGCCCTGGGCCTGGGCTTCCCACTCCACTTCCCAGCTCTCACATCCAATCTGCAAAAGAAGAGAGCTGTCACCCTTCCTGATGCTTGGAGGCATCCTCATCATAATCAAAATCCGCCTTATTAAACACTATCCTTTGGGAGTTTAATGCTCAAATAATGCCAGCGCATGTGCCCTATATAAACAGCTCCCACTACCCACCTGTCCCTTCCCCATCCCTGTCACTGTCCCTTCCCTTGCCCTGCTACATTATTCTTCATAGTACATATCTCCACTTGACATTTGTGCATTTATCATAGTTTATGGTTTGTTTACTCCATGAGGTCAGGGGGATGATGATTGCTTTCCTTCCCTTTTGTAGTCCTGCTGCTTAGAAATGCATCTAGCACATAGCAGACCCTCACTAAATACTTGTTGAATGAATGAATGAATTGTAAATGCCCAATAAATACCAACTATTTTCATTAATATTATTGATAGACACTTTCTTCCCTCACCCAGAGTTTAAAAGGAGGGGTGAGGAGTAAGGAGAAAATCAAATGTCAATATTAAATGATGGGCCTGTACTTCCAGCTACTCTGGAGGTTGAGGCAGGAGAATTGCTTAAGCTCAGGAGTTCAGAATAAGCCTGGGCAACATAGTGAGACCCCATAGCAAAAATAAATAAATATACAAAGAAGTGATGGAGTGACTACTATGTACCAAGAACTATAATAGGTAATTTCAATACAATTTCCCATTTAAATTTCATGATAACTTTTATGTGATAAGTACTGCTCATCCCATTTTATTTATGAGAAGGCTGAGGCTCAAAGAGGCAATATGACTTTCCTATGGACTCATCACCGGTGTCAGCACCAAAGAGTCCCTAACTACCTCTCTCACCCTCACTTTTTCCCCTCCCTTTTACCCCCTATTTCCATAGAAAACCATCTAAACAGTAGACCCTGTGAGAGGCACAGTAAAGGGTGACCATCTCTATCTTGCCCAGTGAACTCCAAGAAGGGTTTATGCGGACCCTGAAGCCAATCGTGGGAGATGCCCAAGGCAAAGAGTCTTTGAGAAGAATCGGCTTCTTCAACTCAGTGACCACTAAGACTGGAGACGTGTCCCTGCAGAATACCTGGGCCTTGACCATAGTCCATTCTGAGCCAGATAAGGCTCTTGCTGGAATCTGACTTCCCTCCAGAACCCTATTTTGGTCCCTGGCAATGAGCATGCCCTTCTCCACACTCTGCCCAGCCCCTCAGGGGCAAACTTTTCCACTCCCCATCCTCTGTCTGCACTCAGCACATGTCCTGAGGAGAGACAAGGGCCAGCTGCCTTCCGGCCAGGCGCCTGTCACCAGAGCTCCCCACTCCCAGCTCTGCTGGGAGCTGATCCCAGCCTGCCCTTGGCCAGGAGAGTGCCAGAAACAAGGCTCTTTCTTTCCCTGGGCCATGGGACAAAGAGCTAGAGACTGTGGAAATGCCCTTGATACTCCCAAATGACAGAATATTATGTAATTATTAAAGACAGTTTAGTGGGTGCAATTGCCAGTAACACAAAAAGAAATTTTTAAAAAGTTGAAATAAAAAGTTTAATTACATGAAGGAGTGACTACATTCCTAATTATGGGGAAAAAAAAAAAGTTGGACATAAACTTGTACAAACATCACCTCAAACATACTTTTAAACATTTAGAAAATATCTGGAAGGAAATACAGCCATATATTAGATGACACCATATGAAATTGCTGATATTCACCCATTTTGACTTACAAACATAACAACTAGATAGTTCAACCTAATATCTGGGTAACAGGATACTAGGTCTCATTTTTCTTTTTCTGTTATCTTTTAATATGTTTAAACATTTATACCTTGAATATATATTAACTTTTATACTCAAAAAACAGACAGCATTAGAAAACAAAATAGACTTAAAAATGTGAGCGTGTTCAGCACGGGCTTATTCCCCTGCCTCCTCCCTTGGTCTCCCCAGGGGTAGTCGGGGCTCTCCATGCCTTCTTCACCCTCCTTCCACGTGTGCAGGCACTGATGGAGGGATCAGATGGCCTCATGGGCTTAAAAACTATGTGCTGCTTATCATAGTAACATAGCTAAGGAGGGATTTAGTTCAATCCTTGGAGGCAGGCTAAGCCAACAGGCTTGAGACAGGTATTTTAAGTAGCTCAGCTTGTCAACTAGCTGGTGGGATGAAGGCCTGAAATAGAGCAGCTTGTGACAGAAGCCTGTATGAAGACAAGCTGCATATTTCTTGTTTCCCCTGGGCCTCAGTGTCCCTGTCTATTTTATTCTTGTGAGCTCATTTGTAGCCCGGACATGTACACACACATATATATGCATGTAGGTGAGTCTCAGCATGAGGCTCTTCCTCTCATGGGTGCTACGTGCCTCCGTCTCCCTCAGAGATGGAAGCTCTCAGCTGCAGCTGCCTCCCGCTCTGGGGTCATCTGGCCAGCATCCTCCTGGCTGTGCCAGCTCAGAGATGCAGCAGTATTATCAATTCAGCGTGTCAGGCCTCCAGCCAGTTTGGCTTCTGCTTGCTCTCCAGCTGGAAATGCTGGGCCTTCTCCCCTCTCTTAGAGCTTTCTAGAAGCTCAGCAGTCTGGCCGGAAGACAACTCTCCCAGAGAGTTGGAGGAGGGCAGAGGAGTAAGCAAGGGCCAGCGGGGGGCCTAAATCTCAGTGGAGAAGGATAGAAAGAAAGGCAAATGCAAATGAAAAGCTCTGTGCCTTTGCAGAACACAGAGCTAATTCTGGGGGAAAATAGGAGAACGGGCTTGGGTTATACCCAGCACAGCTCCCTCTCAGGAGTGAGCCAGGGGACCGCCTGTGTCCATCTAAGAAGCTACAGCCAGGGTCATGGCCACCATCCAAGGCCAAAAGAAGGAAGCCAAGACCAAAACAAAATAAGACAAAACAAAACAAAACAAAAACCAGCTGCCTTCAAGAAAAGGCATTTCCTCCGCACCAGCTTCCTCATTGGTAAAATGCAGGGGTTGATGAGATAATGAAGTTCCATCGTGCTCCAACATGCTATTGGAATTCTCCTCTACTCCAGCTTATCAGCCCAGAAGTCAAAAGCGCTCCCAGCAAGTATACAAAGGAAGCAGGGGAAAAATAAGACATTGGCCAGATGCTGTTTTAGAAAAACTCTCTTCCTAGAGAAGAGGACAGTGGGAGAGGGATCCCTGAAGGTCTTTAGTCAGCAAAGTCTCTGTTAGATTCCATGAGCTGCAGCATTTCTATGGGAAAGGAGATTGCCGGGCAAGGTCAAAAGTCAGGGCCTGCGGCAGATGCTGGCTGTTTTGAGCCATTTTCAACTTCAGGTTTTTTCCTTATCATGAAGTGAAATTTTGATCAGAGCCTTAACTTAGTGCAGCCCTATCTCCACCCTAACTAAATTTAGAAAGGTCGGTTCTGAAGCTGATTATAGAGATGATGCATACTATACACCCCGAAATTACACTGCACCAGTCTCTCTCATGAGCAGTGTGTGTGTGTG